TCACAGCCAGTCTGGTCTATACAGCAAGTTGAGGCCAGCCAGAGCTACACAATGAGAACCTGTCTCAGAGAAAAAATTAAGAATTCAAAGTCACAGAGCATGCTAGTACACGCCTTTAATCCCAGCACTTGGGAGACAGAAGCAGGTGGATCTCTGTGAGTTCCAGAACAGCCAGGGCTACTACACAGAGAAACCCTGTCTTGAAAAACCAACAACAGATAGAAAGAAAGAAAGAAAGAAAGAAAGAAAGAAAGAAAGAAAGAAAGAAAGAAAGAAAGAAAGGAAGGAAGGAAGGAAGGAAGGAAGGAAGGAAGGAAGGAAGGAGAGAGGGAGGANCCTGCCGCCTCCTATTTCAACACAGGGAGCAGACATAACAGTTGGCCCATCACTCTAGTCTTACTTTACTGCTCTATTACCTAGGCTATCCCTGAAGAACTTCCGCTCAAGCAATCCTCCTGACTCAGTAGCTATGCCTAAAGATACATACCACTGCACCCACATCGGTATTTGTTTCTTAATTTCCAATTCATGTACATCTTTCTTGGAGACTGGGACTTCCATGAGAGCGGAGCGGTGCCCACGCCATCCAGGATACAGTCCCGGCTCATCCCTACCACTCACCTGCTTATGAACGAAGCTCACAGATGGGCCATGTTTGTAAGACTGAAATAAGACAGGCGGAAGGAGGGGAGGGCAATGCAGCGAGGCAGAAAGTCTAGAGAAGGGCTTGTGCAGAAGGAACAAACTTGAAGTAAAGGTAGATAACAGGGTCTCCATGTAGCCCTGGCTGGCCCAGAATCACCTGTGGTGCCGGTCCTGCTGAGGTTACAGATGTGTGTGTGTGTGTGTGTGTGTGTGAACACCCAGTTTGAAGAATGACTGAAAGCAGCCTTTTCACTCTGAGTTTTCCCACTCATTTAAGGGTAGAAGGGCAGGAGAAGGCAGCAACAAAGAGCCATGGCTTGTGTAGAGCCTGGGAAAACAGCAGGGCTACTAAGTCTGACAAGCTATTTTCCAGAATACAGTTTATGATTTTTTCAATGTACTAATTAAAATTCTTGAGAGGATTACATCAAATAATGTTTACTTTTTATGTGGATTTCAGACAACTGGAGCCTTTGTTGATTACAGCCAGACTGAATTTAAAGGTAAATCTTCAACCGGCTGCCCTTTCCTCTAGCTGAAACAGTTGTTTCATTTTGATGTTCAGAAAGGGCTTGTCTCCAATTTGAGCCACCTGCTGCCACTCAAGGTCAGGGTCCTGGCTCCCCACAGAGGCTCTCTCCTTGTGTGGTGAGAATCCCCAGGCACAGCACCTGCCCCACCCCAGCTGACTAGCAAAGCTTCTGTAATGAGCATGAAGCCTCACGGGGAACTTGGACTCCAATGAATGTGAAATTAAATAAATAGTCTAGGTTGTTCTTCCTCTCTCTATAGGTAAAACTGAAAAGCATTAACTAAAAAGAGAAGAAATCTGAGCTGGGTAGTGGTGGTGCACACCTGTAATCCTAGCACTCAGGAGGCAGAGGCAGGCGGATCTCTGTGAGTTCGAGGCCAGCCTGGTCTACAAGAGCTAGTTCCAGGACAGGCTCCAAAGCTACAGAGAAACCCTGTCTCGAAAAACTAAAAAAAAAAAAAAAAAAAGAAAAAGAAAAAGAAAGAAAGAAGGAAGGAAGGAAGGAAGGAAGGAAGGAAGGAAGGAAGGAAGGAAGGAAGGGGGAGGGAGAGCAGGGGGAGACATGGACGGGAGCGCATAGCTGGAATATCAGGGTTATAAGGAGAATGAGTAGCTGTGGGGAGGGAAGCCCATCAGCTAGTAAAGTTTACTGTAGAGGAGAAGGTGAGAGGGGCTAGAATGCCATGGACTTTGACTCTGAGTTGTATAACAGGCACTTGTTCACACAGAGGGAGCCTGAAAGTCAGCTTGGGCTTTGGTATGCTAATGGGCACCACAGTTAGCCATTTTGTTCTTTTTTCCTTTTGGAATTTGGGGAAATAGAGTTTCCTTTGGACCTGACAACATTTTACTTCATTTATTGGGGGGGGGGGGCACGAGTATGGGTATGATGCCGGTGTGGGGACCAAAAGACAATCTGTATGGTTCAGCTCTCTCCTCCCATCAGACAGGTTCTGGGACCTCACTTGGGTCATTAAGTGTCTTTACCCCGAGCCATCCCACTGCAAACTCATGGCAGGCTTCTGGGGTTTTAAAGACAGAGCTTAAGGATGTTAAAAGCAATGCACTTAAGAACGGAGACTTCGGGTTACCTAGCTCTGAACTAAACTTCCCTGGTAAGTGAAGGTTAACTATGGAAAACAAAGAGCCTCAGCGGAACTGCGAAATCCCGGCCTGACAGAGGAAGCAGACGTGACAAGACCATCTGCAGGCAGTCAGGAACTCTGAGACTCCTGACAAGAGGTCTATCTGTGATTAAAAACAGCTGCCTTGGCCTTGAGGTTACAACAGATTTGCTGTCGGAACTTTCCACCCCCAAAGTTCCCTTTTCTGCCCTATAAAATCAAGCCCCCTGCTCGTCCCACAGAGGGACTGCCATCCTTAATGTCCTAATAATGACATCCCCTTCAGCTGGGGTCAGTCCTCCCCTTCTGTTATTTTTCAGTGGCCACAGGCAACCCAGGCACTCCTCATCTAACAGCAGGTTTATGACTCAGGGTGCAGCTCACAGAGGAGGAGGGGACAGGCAGGAATGTAGTTCCGGGGTAAAGATCTCAGGTCTGATCCCAGGGAAGGGGAAAAAAAGGGGAAAGTCACTTGGCATTGTCCTCTGAGAGTGTTTTCTGCCAACAGGATTGTTTTTTCCTTAATAAATCAGCTTATTCCAACGCTTCAAGTATAAAATCACAGACCACATCATACATCATGAAGGACAATCACTAGAAATAGTCTGCAATCGTCCCAGCTGCTGGGTTTGTTGTTGTTGTCAATTTACACACATGTACAAGTTACCTGGGAAAAGGAGCCTCACTGAGAAAATAGCTGTCAGATTGCCTATAGGCCAGCATGTAGAGCATTTTCTAAGTTAATGACTGACTAGGAGGGCACCCAGCAGTGCCCCCCCCCCAGGGCATGTGGTCCTGAGCTGTGTAAGAAATCAGGCGGAGGAAGCCAGGGGCAGCAAGCTAGTGGGCAGCATTCCTCCATGCTCTCTGCCTCAGTTCCTGCTCTGGCTTCCCTCCATTGACTGTGACTTGGGATGTGTAAACCAAATCAACCCTTTCCTCCCCACCTTGCTTTGGGGCAGTGTTTTATTACAGCAATAGAAAGTAGACTAAGACAGGTATATATTTCACATTTTGTACATGAAATATTGTTTATAATATATAGGCTGTTTGTTATTCATAATGGTCAAAAGGCAAAAGCAGAGATGGGCATGATAGTTCAGTGCCTTATGTTGTCAGAGAGGGCTGACTCCCCAGGGCCGGCAGATGGCTCAGTGCGGCTGAACTTAACAACCTGTGTGGTGGAGAGACAGAGACAGGGGGAGAGCAACAGAGACAAAGACAGACTGAGACAGAGTGATCAAGCCCCACCTCCCTTGGATTGACCCCTAAGCTCCACCCTTTCCAATACACACACACACACACACACACACACACACACACACACACACACACACACAAAATAAAATGTAAGACTCTGTCTCAAAGGGGGGGTGGGAGGACCTGGCTACAGTGTAGCCACCCTGCTGATATCACTCAGTCCTGTAACAGAATGCCCAAGGATGGGGAGACGAAAACTATGTTGCAGTTTAGCTGCCTGGATTTCTTTTTCTCCATGAGAAAGCTTAAAGAATCTCAGATACTAACATAAATTATTTTATTAAGGATTGAACCTAAAAAAAAATCAAACTCAGTGGATAATAAATCTGATCAATGGGTACATATCTTTTATATTTACTAAAATGTAGGTGATCTCTTAAAATAAAAATGGAAAACTAAAGATTCAAATAAATAAATAAAATGTAAATTAAAAAATAAAATAGCTAGGTGTGGTGTGAATGCCTTTGATCCCAGAAGAGAGACAGGTAGATCTTTGTGCACTGGCGGCCAGGGTGGTCTACACAGGGAGTCTCAGGCTAGCCAAAGCTGCATACTAAGAAAGACAAACAACACAGAAGGAGAGCTGACTCCTCCAAGTTCCTCCACTCACGCCATGGAGCACACACACATAATAAAAATGCAATAAAAATTACTAAAGACAAAAAGCAGCTGAAAAGGTCACCAGCAGATGACAGACAAACTATGATGTAGTCACACAGTGGAGTGTTAGTCACCAGTGAGGAGGAAGCATCAATATAAACTAAAACCTGAGTGGCTATGAAAATACCCTGTGGAAGACGCTAGTGATGCAGAGCAGAATCCACGACTTGGCTATAAGATGTCCCAGAGTAAGCAAGTCCACAGAGGCAGAAAGACTATGGCAGCAGCTGCAAACCACGTCGAGGAGGATGACGAGGAGCTAAGTGAAAGCCCCGCTAATAGGTGAGCCGTTTACGTTAGGGGAGACCTTAAGGAATCTATAATTAGGCTGTGAGTGTGTCTGCATTACTGTATCAAAATTCTTAAAGTTCCTGGACAGTGGTGGCGCACGCCCTTAATCCCTGCACTCGGGAGGCAGAGGCAGGCAGATCTTGGTGAGTTAGAGGACAGCCTGGTCTACAGATTAAGTTCTAGGACAGACAGGGCAGCAGAGAAATTCTACCTTGAAAAACCCAAATAAGTAAATAAATAAAATAAAATAAAATAAAAAGCATGCATGACTATAGTCTTTTCTTTTTCTTTTCAATTCCAAGTCTTAATATCTAACCTTTACCAACCCAATATTTTAAAAATAATAATATTCTATATTTTCTACTAATACATGTTACTTTATTCTAATGTCTCATTTGAATGGTCCATTCTTTTTGCCTATTGGTCTAAAACCTGTGGCAACCTTGAATTCAAGTCCAGCCTGTGGATTCTGTTTAAAGGTGACTTACCTAATTTTTGAGCCCATATTATAGCGGTACCCGTGTCTCCTGCATTGCCTTCAGCTAAACATACAACTTCTTGTCCAATCTTCCATCCAATTAATGGATAAAAGCCTTAGAAAGCAAACAAGCAAACCAACAATGTAAGTCAAATAACAACTACATGACTCATGGCAGCACCAACCATAACTTTCTAGTCTGGTGATACAAAACAACCACAAAGTGCAAATCCCAGCCCTCACTAGGTAGGGTCTTAAGGTTTCTGCACTTTCAGCTTTGGTTTCTGCAAGTGAAAAGAGACTACAGGAGAGAGCTGCTGTAGGCATAAGCAGAGTTAACTCACAGAGGAACAAATCCAAGGCCCGGCATACAGTATCGTACAATGAATGTAAAGGGCAGGTTTCTGCTTTTCTTCTTCTTTGTTTTGCTGTTGGATGCTGGTCTTGGTTTGGGGAGCTGGGAATTGAACCAAGGGCCTGGTGCATGCTGGGTAGATACTCGACCACTGAGCTATGTCCCCAACCCCTAGCCATTAGTTTTTGATAGCTACAGACACATCCACATTTCCAGAAACATGGCAGTGAGTATTGTAATGGCAAACTAAAGGTTCCTAGGGAGAACCGTGCCGGAGCACTAACCACACCGTGTGTCTACTTGTGGTCTCCAAGCAAAGTCCCAAGTCAGGACAGTGAAAAACAGTGACAAACTTTTCTAGCTTTGACCCTTGCCAGCGAGGGGAAAGGGACCAGGCTGTAGAGAGAAGGCAGGAAAAGAAAATTTAAATGCATCTTTGACAATGTTGGGGATAGGGTGTAGCTTAGTTGTCCAAGTGCTTGCCTGGCCTGCACGAAGCCCTGGGTTCCACCTGAAATACCACATTAACCAGGCATGGTGGCAAAGCTAGAACCCTAGCATGGGAGAAGTAGGAGCAAGGGGATCAGTGATCCGGGTCATCTCTATCTACATAGCAAGTTCAAGGCCAGGCTAGGCTATGCAAGACTCAGTCTCAAAAACTAAAAAGGCCTTAATCGTGTTTTGATCACTAGATGGCAACGATCACCCCTGAAAGTTTCTAACGCGTAAGTAAAAGAAAATAGGGCTGGATCCCAAGGTGTACATCCCTTGCCTAGCATGTTAAAGCCTGTGTTTGATTCCCCAGCAGCCCACCAAAATAAATAAATAATTGAGAAAAAGAGAGATTTAGACTACAATAGTAAAATTTAAACAAATGTAACATGTAATACAAATAAATATTTGGAAAGCTGACCACAATAGCCTAATACATCTAATTTTTTTAATTAACATCTTTGGGGTTTTTGTTTTTTGAGACATTTTTTCTATATCGCTCTGGCTGTCCTAGAACTTGCTCTGTAGACCAGTACAGTCTCAATCTCAGCAGCCCACCTGCCTCTGCCTCCCAAGTGCTGGCATTAAAGGCGTGCGCCACTGACACCTGGTGACATCTTTATTTTTAGTGCTGCTAACTTTTTTTTAATTAATGTAAAGGTAATGGGGATCAATTAACTCTAATAATTAAAATATATCAGAGAATATCTTTAACATAAAACAGAAAATTAGAGCCAGGGAGCGGTGGTGCACGCCTTTAATTTCAGTACTCTGGAGGCAGAGGCAGGCGGATCTCTATGAGTTCGAGGACAGCCTGGTCTACAGAGTGAGTTCCAGGACAGCCAAGGCTACACAAAGAAATCTTGTCTCAACAAACAAACAAACAAACAAAAAACCGAAAGAAAAACCAACAACAAAAAAGAGAAAGCAAACTGAGCAAGTCAGTAAGCAGCACTCTTCATGGCCGGCCTCTACATCAGCTCCTCCCTCCAGGTTCCAGCCCTGTTTCATTTCCCCTGACTTCCCTTCATTATAGACCGAGACATGGAACTGTAAGCTGAAATAAACCCTTTCCTTCCCAAGTTGCTTTTGGTCACAGTATTTTATCACAGCAATAGAAACCCTAACTAAAACAAGTACTGATTACAAAATAAATACATTAAGAGAAAATAAGAATATTCTAAAGCTTATTACTTAAACGATAAATTTGTTTCTATAACTGTAGTTAGAACAGAGGTACAATATTACTAAGAGTACCAAGATATTCATTTGCTTGCCTTTGATATAGGACCTCAGTATGCAGCTGTCCAGGACCACAGCATATGTAGTCAGGACAGGACAGCATCCTACTTCATTGTTCCAAGTGCCGGGATTAAAGTTGTGTCTATCTAGCCGGGAGTAGTGGTGTGTGCCTTTAGTTCCAGCACTCAGGAAGCAGCAGCAGCCTGGTCTCTGAGTCTGAGGCCAGACATGTCTACAGACCGAGTTTCAGGACAGTCAGGGGTGGGGTGGCGGCAGTACATACATCACAAAGAAACAGTATAATTTTTATCTTAGTAACAAGATATATCCTGATTATTTACCTCCATTAGCATGCTGAGGGCTGTTTCCTGTATTAATATCCAAAAATGTCCCGGTGCCCATGGTTAACTTCACGTCTCCTGTCTGGAAGCAGCACTCTCCAAACATGGCCGCCTGCTGGTCACCAACCTGCCAAGGGTCGACGGTCAGATGCACACTCTGCCAGTGCCTACTTACCAGCGTCCATCTCCCCTTACAGGACGCTCAGGGCCACACTTCCCTGCCTTTTTTTTTTTTTTTTTCCGCCACTTCCTTAAGACAACAGCTGCATAGTTCAGGGTTTCTCTGGGCAGCAATGCCGGCAGCTGACCAGTCTAAGGGTTTCTGGTGCCAATCTACTTCATGACTTTAACAAATATAATTTTAGAAATATCAGTATAAAAATTATGCCGAAAATCTGCCTTTCCATTTTTACCTCAGAGGTTTCATTTATTTGTCGAGATAACTGATCTCACAAATTTGTCCTTTACCAAAGGTAACAGGTACAATAAAGTGTGAGGTCTTGCACCGCCCATGTCATAAACAGCTATTTCTGTTTCTTCCTTTGTTTTTTCAAGACAGGGTTTCTCTGTGTAGCCTTGGCTGTCCTGGAATTCCTTCTCTAGACCAGGCTGGCCTCTGACAATTCCGGGATCCACCTGACTCTGATTCCCAAGTGCTGAGATTAAAGGTGTGTGTCTCCACCACCTGGCCTAAAACTCCCCATTTCTTGTTTTAAAGTATTTCAATTTTGTTACCATGGCTACATGTAAACACACATAAAGCTGTTTATTTGACTTCCTACAGTCCCGGAAATCGACTCTCAGGCCTCACATGCGCTCATGAGTTCTCTATACTGTTACACTTGGAACTCTGTTTTTATTCTTCTTAGAGACAGGCTGCCATGTTTACCAGGGTAGCCTAGACCTCTCTTCTTGTGCCCCAGCCTCCAAGCAGCTAGGACTACTAGGCACACATCACTGCAGAGCGCTTGCCTTGTCTGCACACGGCCATGGTCACTAGTACCATACTAAACAAAGAAATAAATAAAAATAGGGCTGGCAAGATGGCTCATCTGATAAATGCATTTGCCACTAACCCTGACACGGAGTTTGATCCTTGGGACCCCCACACAGTGGAAAGAGAGAACTAACTCCTGGAAGTTGTCCTCTGATTTCTACATGCCTGCCATGGTATGTACACACAGACATACAGACACATGCATACAAAAATGTTTAAAAAATAAAAGATAAACCCTTTTTTAGGCTAAGCATAGTTGAACACACAATCCCAGCACTGGAGAGTCTGAAGGGAGCAATTTAAGTCAGAGGTAAGTCTGGACTAAATACAGAATCATGCCGCTTACCCCCAAAAAACAATAAAGTCACCTGAGCAGGGGAGCACATGCATGTAAGCCCAGCCACTTTGGAGACTAAGTGGTTTACAAAGAATTTAATGCTAGCTCAGGCTACATAATAAGACCCCGTTATTCATAAGTCAACAACTTCACTTTAAAAATCAAAGTAGGGGCTGGAGAGATGGCTCGGTGGTTAAGAGCATTGCCTGCTCTTCCAAAGGTCCTGAGTTCAATTCCCGGCAACCACATGGTGGCTCACAACCATCTGGAATGAGGTCTGGTGCTCTCTTCTGGCCTACAGACATACACACAGACAGAATATTGTATACATAAAAAATAAATAAATATTAATAAAATAAAATAAAAATCAAAGTAACCAAAGTGCTTCCCCACCCCCTTTATTTTATTCATCTTAGCCATACCTTAATCTGAGAGTGAACCTATTCTCAGCAATTGTTTTAGTTTTCGACCGGCATCTACCCAGGCAGTTGCATGCTAAGCATTCTGTGACCGCTGACTCCAACTCCCTCCTCTGATGTCAAATGCTTATTTACTGAGTTGGGCTGCTCCGATGAAATGTAAATAGCGGCCCCTCACTGGTTTTAAAACCAGAGCATCAACAGAAGTAACATAGTATCTCTAGAAAATGTAACAGTTGGGACCGGCTACAGAGTCTTCCACTGTAGAAGTCTGGCCAGTGGCCCTCCACCCAGAACACAAGGGATGCTTCTCATTCTATACACAACCCTTTCAACTTAAAAGACACGAAAGAGCTCCTAGTCATAATGTCTGTTTCTTCTTCAGTGCTGATACTGAACCCAGGGCCTCAGACATGGTGGTAAAAGCTCTGAGACCCCACTGAGGACAACAGGCTCTCACTAAGTATCCCTGGCTATCCCAGAATGTGCTATATGAACCAGCCTTGAACTCTTAAAGATCTTCCTTCCATGCCCATGCGGCCGAATACTGGGATTAAAGCCTAAAGCCGTGAGCCACCACACCTGGCTCAGGCATTAGCTTTAGTCTACACAAGACCTTGTGTTTCTCTTAAAGCTAGCTCCCAACCATCCAAACATATTCATTTAGTTTTCACTCCCATGTCTTCTACTTACCAAGGCAACCACTGGTATAGGTACACCAAATATCTCTTCATCCACTGATCCAAAATTATGGCTTCAAATAAGATTGATGAAAGAGTTAATTGTTGCTCTGGATACAGTCAGTCTAAAATCCAGCAAACTGCTTTTCACACAGGCTACAGAGTTACAGAGCGGATGCAGAAGCATCAAAAGCACAGAAAAAAAGTCCCTTTCCCCAGCAAAGCAAAAAGAATTCAAAGGCACTTATGTTGGTCTGTGTTTGATGCCCACACTTACCTTGTGTCCTTCACGGGAGGCAGGATAGAGAGCGGTAAGGAAACTATGGTGGCCACCAGCTTGCTCCAACACATCTGGGCATGAAAATACAGCGTCAGGATAGGCAAGCTTGAATGCATCAAACCTCTACCCACATTGCAAAAATCACATTGTACGCAACAAACTACAATCAGTTAAAAAAAGAATCTAGCCTGAATTACAGAAAAAGCTGGTGATTCAAAAAAGAAGATAAAAGTCTTTACCCCAAATGGATCAAAAAATCCAGTTGTACTGGCATTTGAATAATCCGTGGCAAACGCAGAACCTAAATTTACATTAGAAATAGCACACTTATTATCAGGTAAGAGAAGTTGTCTAACCTTGGTATATAATCTAGACCGTTGTCTACCTTCAAATTCATCCTAAAATGAATGCTTGCAACATTCAAGTTTCCAGGAAAATTCCCACCAAATCTTTATGAACCTTTACAATTTTTTCTTTTAAGATTTTATTTAAAAATTTCAAAATTGCAATGATGTATGTGCAGTATATATGTGTGTGTATCACAGCACACAAGTGCAGAGAAGAGGACAGTTCCAGGAATCTGTTCTCCCTTTCCACCATGGGTCCCAGGGGTCAGATTTGGTCCTCAGGGTAGGCAGCAGATGTCTTCCTGCTGGGCCTTCTCACCAGCACTCCTCCCCCATCACATACCACTGTCTGCCTATGGAGGTCAGGGGACAACTTTGTGGAGGCAGTTCTCTCTACCATGTGGGCTCTAGGGACTAGCTCAGGTTATCAAGCGTGGCAGAAGCCATCCTTACCAGTTAAGTGATCTTACCAGCCCCTGAATGCTACAAAAGCAGTTTTATTAGAAAAAACTTGAGGATCCTGAATTTGAAGGGAAGAGGTGTAAAGTGTTAACTGCACCCCCAATCATATCCAAGTACAGTGTTACCCCTGCTTTGCTCATTTCTTTAAAAGTTGTATTTACTTCATGTGTATTATTAGTGTTTTGACTGCATGGATGTCCGTGCACCACATGCATGCCTGGTGCCCCGGGAGTCAGAAGAGGGCGCTGGGTCCCTGCAACTGGAGTTAGGCATGGTTGTGAGCCAGCATGTGGGTCTCTGCTGGCTCCCTGCAACTGGAGTTAGGCATGGTTGTGAGCCAGCATGTGGGTCTCTGGCACTGAACAGCTGAGCCACCACAAGTCCCTTATTTTTTTTAAGTTAGCACACACACACAAATCAACATGCTTCATCATGGCATTTTCATATATGTTACTACACTTTATTCTAATTTGTCTCTCCCCCTGCCCCATACCCTTTCTAACGTTTCCCTTCTTTCCCCTAGACAGACTGCCCTTTTGATCTGATATCACATGTATTCCATCACCCTCTTTGTTCCTATCCCTGTCTCTGTGGCCTGCTTAGGGTCCTCCAGTCACACACCTGAGTGGGAAGGCCAGGCCATAAGGCAATTCTCTTCTTGCTTGTTGACCATCGCCCGGGCTGGCTTCCACCGTGGCCGCACAGGCCACCTTCCCAGCGGCAGCAGTGAATTCGGGCTCCTCTGCCCACATCCGCGTGGCATTTGCTGCCATTCATCTTCTTTGGTTTGTTTTTTATTTTATTTTGAGACAGGGTCTCTCTCTATTGGCTTGGATAGCCTGGAAATTGTTAGGCAGACAATCTTGAGCTCACAGAGATTTACTCGTCTCTGCCTCCCAAAGGCAGGGCTTAAAGGCCTGAGCCACCTGGCTTTATTTATCCTCTTGACGATAGCCACTCTGATGGGGGCAAAATGGAATTCAAGGCCACTTCAATTTGTGTTTCCCTCAGGACTAAAAATACTGAGCACTTTTAAAAGTAATTGTTGGGCATTTCTTTTTCTTCTTTAAGATGATTTGGGGAAGGTTGTGCTTAAATCTTACATTCTTTAAATATTCAGATATTAATCCCTGGTCTGATGTGTAAGTGACAAAGATTTTTCCCACTCTGTAGGATGTTTAAGTGAATATTTCCTTGGCTGTGCAGAAGCTTTTCATTCCGAGCAATCCTATTGACCAATTATTGATATTATTCCAGGGCTAACAGAGTCCTTTCCAGAATATCCTGGTGCATTTTGCCTACATTATGTTCTAAGACTTTTAGTTTCATATCTGACATTAGGATCCTTTTTTTTTTTTTTAAAAAAAAAAGGCTTATTTTCTTTTTATCTGTGTGTGTGTGTGTGCACGCACGCACGTGCACACATAGATGAAGATGCCCACGAAAGGCCAGAAGACAGGAGCTGGAGCTGCAGACAGCTGTTAGCCACCTGATACACAGAGAACCAAACTCAGGTCTTCTGGAAGAGCAATAGCAAATATTTTTAACCACTGAGCTATTTCTCCAGCCCCAAATAATCTGTGTGGTTTTTTTGTCTTGTTTTTTGTTTGTTTGTTTGTTTTGAGACAGGGTTTCTCTATGTAGTTCTGGCTATGCTGGAGCTTGCTATGTAGACTGGGCTGGCCTCCAACTCACAGAAATCAGCCTGTCCCTGCTTCTTGAATGATCGGATTAAAGGCGTGCGCCCCACATCCAGCTGCTTTGTGTTATTTGTATTTTTGTTTTAAGACAGTCTTACTGTGTACCTCTGGCTGGGCTGGAACTTGCTATGTAGACCAGGCTGGTCTTGAACTTGAAGATCCACCTGCCTCTGAGTCCCAAGTTCAGGGACTATGGGAACGCAGCACCATATCCAGCTGGGATTGTTGTCTTCTAGCTCTGTGAAGAGCGTCATTGTGGGTTGACGAGACTGCGCAACAAAGGTGCCTGCCACCAAGCATCTGGCCCCACATGGAGGTTGGAGAAAACTGACTCTGGCCACACTTGTGTTCTTTCCTTTCTGTCCCGTCAGTATTAAGGTCTTGCTGGTTTACTGTGCTGGACAAGATGGATTCCTTCTTAGTTTCCCTCTGTTGATCAACTCCTCTCATAAAATTACTCCTTCCCTTATTCTTATGATAGAGACTTTCTTTCTTCCTCGATGCATCTTCTGCATCGCTGGCTTGCAAGGCAAGGTCGGCCCGAGTCCAGCTGCCTTGAACTGTCCTTGTTTCTCCAGCATCTGTAAGAAGCAGCTTGGCAGAGTGCTGCACTCTTGGTTGGCGGTTTTCACTGTCAGGACTTGACAGCATCTTTCCATGTGGGATGTTGGTGGGGATCTACCACCATTCTGATGGCTCTGCTTTTCTAAGTGAGTTTGGCATTTTCTCCTCACAGCTTCCGGGGTTCCCTGCTTTGTGTTTCGGCATTTTAACCATACCACGAAAAGTTTCTTCTGTGGTGCTACCTATGTGGGATTCTAAGTGCTCCTTCTATGGGACATCTATTTCTTTCCTTGATTTAGGAAATTCTCTGCTGTAATTTCATTGAATAGATCATGCCTTTTAGTGTTCGTCTCTTTTATCCCGTGAATGTTTAGCTTTGGGCTCCTGAAAACACCCCTGATATCTTGTACGTTGTGGTCATATTTGTTCATTTTCCCCCTTATTGGTGTCTGGATGTCACAGCTCATGAACTTTGCCCTCTGTCCCTTTTATTCTTTCTTCTAGCTAGTCAAGCCCATCGGTGAACTCCTCTGTTTTTTTTTATTTGATTCAGTGAGTTCTTCATTTCCAGCATTTCTATGCGTTGTTTTCCAGACACTCCGTTTTCTCGCTGAACTCTCCTCCACGTGGTCGTCCAGATGGCTGATGTTTCCTTCTAATATGCTGGGCCTCGACTTCAATTCATCTGCTGGTTTGCATCCTCTTTCATGGTACCCGTCATTCTTTGCCAATAAACTTGACATCGTCACCTCACATTCTACCTCCTCCGCCGTCTCGGATGAAATTCAGAAGTTATGGTCTTTTGAAGGAGTTATGCTGGTTTAATATGGTGCTTGTATTTCTGCATTGCAATTTGGGTGGACCCTCCAGTTATATCTGAGGGTTTTCTTAGGTAACTAGCTCTCGAAGGCTCAATCCCCAGTACGACTCAGAGAAGGGAACACAGAGTGCGTGTGAAAACGTCCGCTGTTCCCCTACTCCTCAGGGAACAGCGGGGCCCAAGCTGTGTGCAGCTACTGTCTATCTCTGACTCTAACCTCTTGGGCTTCCCTTCAACTCCTTTGTAGGTTCCCGAAGCTCTTTCTCTCTTTGGAATAAAGTCTATTTCCTCTTATTCTGATTTCATTGTCGCACATGGGGGTGCTGCTTCCCACCCCCCCACACCTTACCTGGAAGTCTAATTTTAGCTCTCTGAATTAACACTTCCCCAGGTCTCAGACTGTGAAATTTCATCAGTATTTTCAAACCATTTTCCTCTCCAGGAAAACGGAAATCAATCTGGCTTTAATGCAACACGCAGGTACCAGTGTGCAGAATAGCAGAACGCTGGGGGCAGGGAACGCACGCAGGTATCAGTGTGCCGAACAGCAGAATGTCGGGTACAGAAAGAAAACCGTAGTGTAAGTAATTTCTACTCTCCTTTAAGCAAATCTGGCCTCTTAGTCTTTTTTTTTTTTTTTTTTTTTTTTTTTTTGATTTTTGAGAGACAGGGTTTCTCTGTGTAACAGCTCTGGCTGTCCTGGTACTTGCTCTGTAGACCAGGCTATCCCTGAACTCACAGAGATCCGTCTGCCTCTGCCTCCCGAGTGCTGGGACTAAAGGCTTGCGCCATCACCGCCCGGCAACTGCAACAGTCCGTGGGGTCCCCTTTACCTTTCGTGAGCTTGTGTAACAGCCACGTGTCAATGGTCCCGAAGCAGCAGTTGTCTTCTTCTACGGCCTTCCGCACCTAAAAACAGAAGAACGTTTGGTCGACTCAGACTGACTGCAGCATCCCGCACATGACAAAATACAGATCAACAGATAGCTGTAATCTCAATTATGAAAATACGCCCAGAAAGACTGTTTCCAAGCTATATTTCAAAAGATTGCAGTTATCAGCGAATGGGCTTTAGAAGGGAGTGCCTCCTACCATCTATGTGATTCATTGAAAAATTTTAGTTTTACATCAACAAATGCTTTTTCAAAAAGGAGAGCATTTTTTTTTAGTTTAAATACACAAATATACTAGTATGACCCAAAGAAGTAATATTACATGTAATACATGTAATATTACACTATTGTTCAAGGGATAAATCCAACCTAATGCCTATTTTATTTATTTAGTTTTTCGGCACTGGAAATTTTCTGTAGCTTTGAAGCCTGTCCTGGAACTAGCTCTTGTAGACCAGGCAGGATGGCCTTGAACTTACAGAGATCCGTGTGCCTCTGCCTCCCAAGTGCTGGGATTAAAGACGTGCACAGCCACTGCCCGGCTCCTACAGCCTATTTTAAAAAACATTTATCCACCCCTTACAACTGTTCCAAATATAGTGAGAACACCTGACTGTGGCATGCACAACCCATGTGATAGACCTGCAAGACAACTCTACACGTACATCTCAGAGAACATTGAGGAGGACGGGCTGGAAGACTAAAGAGCCAGAGGACCCAGACATCTATGGTAAGACAGTGTTTTCTATATACGACAGGGCAGCTGCGCCAGAGAATCACAACAGTATGGCTAAAGAAGGTCGGAATGGCAGTATCATCGCATGCCAATGTGGATGGGAACTCTCACCAGGCCCCGCGCCTGGATGACAGCTACAGGCACTGGCTGTCAAAAGAGGAAGAATGAGTATTCTCTGGGCATGAGTCCCCACTAAGGTTATGCAATCCCAAGTGGTGAGATCCAAATATATACACACATAAAATATGTACAGCACTAAATGGATTAACAGGCTGTATTTATAGGTATGTACATGTTTGTATATAATAATAATAAGCCCTAAACACATGCACATACAAGCAACACTAAATGAAAACGGCAGTTTGCTCTCTCTCTCTCTCTCTCTCTCTCTCTCTCTCTCTCTCTCTCTATCTCTCTAATAATAATAATAATAATAATAATAAAAGAGGTCATGAATTTGAGATGGAGTGAAAAAGACATGGGAAGAGTCAGAGAGAAGAAAGGGAACAGAAATGATGTAAATGTAGCATTCATGTCTGAAATTCTCAAAAAACAAAAAAACAAAAAGCACTAACAGTTTTTAAACTTAAAAATCAAGGAGGGGGAGAAGGATGGTGAAATAACTCGGTGGTTACGAGAACTTCCTGAGGCACAGGCGTGAGGCATTTCCTGAGGAGCTCACCACAGCCACCTGTACCTCCAGCGCTAGGGGATCCACTGTGTTTTTCAAGCCTCCACAGGCACCCACATGGGGCAGAAGCGTGCGCACACGCGCGCACACACACACACACACACACACACTCCTAGAGTGTGGGGGCAGTGAAAAAGTTCTCGATACAAAATCCTCCATGTATCAACTCAAAAGGATCTGGGCTGCGTGGAGCTCAGGATACTGAAGAGATTCTCGGGAAAGCAGCGGAAAGAAGACTGATCCTGTTAGCTTGTGTTTATGTCATCATTTTGATAAGATAGTTTTTTTTTTTTTTAATAAGGTCATTTACCTTCTCCCCTTTCCTGACCACTGAAGCCTAGATGGGTGTGTGACTTCCAGGAAATGGGAAGAACCTTATAGATGCCCTATAAACAAATGCTGGATTGCTGCCAGACTGTAGGTAGGTGGGAAGCCCAAAGCTGGGTATTATTTCTTTGATCAAAATGTTAATTACCATTTGCTTTGGTTTTGTGGTGGAAGCCTCAGACAGGCTAGTCAAGTGTTCTGGCACTAAATCACACTCCTGTTCCCAACCCCTGTTTTCTCTGGGGCTAGAGACTGAACCCAATGCTTGGTTGTACTAAGCATATATTTAATCATCTGAGTTACATCTCTAGCTCCAATCTATTTTTATTTTGTTGTTGTTGTTTCGTGACAAGGTTTCTCTGTAGTTTTGGAGCCTGTCCTGGAACTAGCTCTTAGACCAGGCCGGCCTCGAACTCACAGAGATCCACCTGCCTTGCTTCCAAGTGCTGGGATTAAAGGTGTGCGCCACCACTGCCGGCCTAATCTATTTTTATTTTATGTGGATGAGTGCTTGTTTGCCTGAATGTGTGTATGTGCTGAAATCTATCCACAGAGGCCAGAGGAGAGTGTTGGATTCCCAGGACCTGGAATTGCAGACAGTTATGAACCATCAGATGGGTACCGGGAACTGAACCCAGGTCCTCTGTGAGGCAGGCACTGCATCTGACCATTGAGCCATGGCTCTAGTTCCTCCACTCTTTTAATGGCTAAAACTTCAAATGACGCTTTGAAAATGGCAGTATCACAGATGATGAACTTTATCCAAGGTGCAATTATTGTTCATTGAAAACTTCACCCAAACACTTGCTGTAGGAATTCCTACTGCCAGTAGCCTTTAAATTACCCGCCCACTTGGACATGGCCTCTTAAATACTATTTATGCTGATGTAAAGCGTGCCTCTGGCCTCTTTTCCAGCTGCAGGATTTGGTTGCTGTTCCCCGTTCCAGCAGAGGACTGTGATCTGTGAGTCTACCCCTAAATAAATCACCCTCTATTATTCTCAATTCTGAGCTGGTGTGGGATTTCTTTTAAGCATCCTTCTTCAAACACTCTGATAGTTACAGCTGATGTGACAAATTTAACTGTCAACTTGACTCAGTCTAGAATCCTCTGTAAAGAGAGCGTCAGTGAGGGGCGGTCTAGGTTAGGTGGACAGGCTGTGAAGATGTTGTAGGCAGGCCTGTGGATGTCCTGATTACCTTGTTAATGTAGGTACACAGCCTAAGAGAGCTCTGCCATTCCCTGTGTGGGTCTGTCTAGAAACACAGAGGAAGTGCCAGATATGGTGGTGCACACCTTGAATCCGAGCACTTGAGGGAGAGGCAGATGAATCTCCATGATTTCTAGGCCAGCCTGGTCTTTACAAAGAGTTCCAGGGCAGCCAGGAGTAGAGAGACCCTGTCTCAAAAAACCAGAAACTAAAGCAAGTGAGAAAGTGTGCTAAGAACTGGCAAGGCCGCGTGCATTCATGTTCTGTGCTCCTGATGAAGGACGCCATGGGACCAGTTTTTTCCAGCTTGCACCATGAGTGTCTCTGTTGTGACGGACTGGAGCCTGGAACTACAGGCTGGAGTAAATGCTTTCTGTCATATGTTGTATTTGTCAGGGTGTTTCATCACAGCCACTGGATGTAAACTCAGACAGTTGCCTTGGCAACTTACAATGATCTCTCTGAAGATCATTGTTGAAGATCATTATTATCTCAATATTGTTGGTTTAAAAGTTAATGATGAGTCTGTGTCATGATATTGAAAAAAACATGTATTTTATGACAAAAAACTATATAAAATTCAAATTTTAGAATCGCTAAGTAAAGTTTGAATAGAATTCAGCTGTATTTGTTCAAGTTACAAAAGTTGAGCAGCTGTGCCATAGATCGCAAGGTCCTCAATTCGTAAAGTATTATTCTCTAACCATTCAGTGAAGTACAACAGTCAAAACAGCGAAGAACCAGGTCGGAAGCATGCCAAAGGAAAAAAAAAAGGGATCAAAATACTTTTACACCAAATAATATAGAAGTTGAAATTCTGGATATTATTAGGAGACTAAAAAATAATTTCTTGCTGGGTAGTGGTGGTGCACACCTTTAATCCCAGCACTTGGGAGGCAGGGGCAGGTGGATCTCTGTGAGTTCAAGGCCAATCTAGACTACAAGAGCTAGTTCCAGGACAGGTTCCAAAGCTACAGAGAAACCCTGTCTCAAAACACAAAACAAAACAAAACAAACAACCAAAAACACAAAACAAAACAAAAAACCGGAGTCAGATATTAGTGTGTAACAGCTGAGAGATCAGAGAAGCAGTACAGCCAGCCACTAGAGAGACCTTTTACCTCTACCAAATCCTCAGCCCCAAAGGGGGATTTTGTCCTCAGGCTGCATATGAGATCCTGTCTCCTCCCGCTTATATTCCTCTCTCCGCCCAGCTATATCCCTTCCTGTCTCTACCTCCCTAGTGCTGAAATTAAACACAGAGGACTCCCAAGCACTGGGATTAAAGGTGTGTGCCACCACCACCTGGCCTGGTGGCTTAGGTCTGCACTCTGATCTTTAGGCAAGCTTTACTTGTTAAGAAAAACAAAGTAACACTACACTCACCCAAAGAGCTGAGGACCTGTGGCGGTCACAGGCCAGGAGACACACCCACTAAAAGACTGACAGGTAACGGTAAGGTTGTAGGATGCATCCCCTTCATGGATGCCATCTCATCATCTCCCCAATGTGGCCAAGGCTAGCTTCAAACTGTCAGTCTCCTGCCTCAGTCTCCCGAGTGCCCAGCTATATTACAGCACTTGGCCCAGGTGGTGTCTGTCACACAGACGTTTATTCTACAAGGCGCCGCCGAGGGACAGGCTTCGGTTCTGACCACTCTTCTACAGGTGCTCTGACACCAGAATGATCTCCAACTTGCAACCAAGTGCAGACTGCTGTCCTTGACCTCTGTATCACTGGGTACTTCCTTTCCCCAAACAGCTGGAAGACTGTTCTCATGCTTCGAATTTTTCTTCTCCACAGTCATGATTCCTTGTCACATACAATCTTTTCTTACCTCAGATAGGTTTTGTAAAATCCAGATCAGCCTTAAGGTGGCATGCTGGGTGGTGAAATTGAAGCGACTGGCTGTTGACATTAGTTTACTTCTACTGAAAAAGTGAAGAACTCGGCAGGCACTATGCAACAGCTGTTTTAAAAACAAAAGATGTTTTTAACGGTACTTAATCCCTGCCCGTTTTTTTTTTTTTTTTTTTTTTTTTTTTTTTGCAACAGGGTCTTATCATGTAGTTCTGACTGGCCTTGAACAAACACAGAGATCCACCTGCTTCTGCCTTCTAAGCACTGGGATTAAACTCACGTGTGCCACTTCTAACTTAAGCACTTTTGTTTATTTTATGTATGAGTGCCTTATTGACTTTCTTCCAGAAGAGGTCATCAGATCCCACTATAGATGGTTGCAAGTCTCCGTGTGGTTGCTGGGAATTGAACTCAGGACCTCTGTAAGAGCAGCTAGTGCTCTTAAACTCCAAGCCCACTCTCCAGCCCTTAAGTAGTTTCTTATAAAATAAAACGCAGAGGCTGAAGAGGTGGGCTTGGTGATTAAGAGTATTTGTTGCTCTTGCAGAGCACCTGGGTTCAGTTCCAACACCCCCACATGATGGCTAACAGCCTTCTGTAGCTCTGCCTCCAGAGGATTCGACACCTTCTTCTGACATCTGTGGGCACCGGGCACACATGTGGCAAACATACATCCATGCAGACAAAACACTCATGCATGTAAAACAAAAACAAATAAGTCTTTAAAAAATATTTTTTAAGAACAAACAACAACACTAAGTGTAGCCAGGTGTAGTGGTGCATACTTCAACCTCAGCAGCTGGGAGGCAGGTAGGAAGACCCCAAGTTCAAAGTCAGTCTGGGCTCCGTAACAAGTTCTAAGCTAGGGGCTACACCGGAGACACTGGGCTAAAGGAAACAAATGGGAGATGGATCCAAGGTGCAGGGGCTTCTTGTGCACAGAAGAGGGCTAAGTTCTGATCCCCAGGACCAACATAAGTGCCATGAGAGTGTGGAGGCACACCTGGAACTCCCCAGACTCCTGCACCAGCGCAGAACACTACTGTAGCTAAGGCATCAACCACAGGGCATCAGATGGCGACACCGGCAATACTGCATCTCGGTGATGATGCCAGATGCAGCAGGCTGCACCCTGTCTGAGGGGCCAGAAAACGGCTTTTTCCTCGATAGTGTGGGGCTCGGCAGAAATGACACCACAGCAGCCAGTGCACGCTGTTCTTACTGTTATTGTCATCACTGCCCACCCTTCACAGGTGTTTACTGTGATTGTCATCACTGCCCACCCTTCACTGGTGGTCAGCAAGGCCCCAGGCGTATCGTGCAGAACTGTGAAGTCCACTAGCTGTCAGTGTCCACTCACTTTGTTAGAAACGATGGTGCAGTTTGGCCATTTCAGTTCACATAGTCTATATCTTTATCCTTTACCCAGGCAGAAACACAAATTCCCTTAATCACGTGACACATAGATCCAATCCGAAACCCCTCCAGCCTTCCTGAGGGCCAGTAGTGACGTGCTTAAATCTACTGCAAATGCTCCTGGGGGTTAGTATTACATCTCACTTTTGGGGAAAATGTATGATTTACTCTTTTAGTCTTACTGTCCTAAAAAATAAAAGGTAGGGGACTCGGGCCTGGAGAGATGGCTCAGCATTTAAGAGCACTGATTGCTCTTCCAGAGGACTGGGGTTCAGTTCCCAGCACTCAGCACTCAAATGGAAACTCACAACTGCCTGTAACTCCAAGATCTGACACCCTCACGCACAATGCAGGCAAAACACTAATGCACACTAAAAATTAAATTAATTAAAATGAAAAAAAGGTAGATTTAAAACTAAATCTATAGCTGAGAGACATTTATAGTAAAAAGTAAAAACGTGATTTAAAAAAATTACCTTCATTACAAGAGAATTATTCCAGGATTTTACAAGGTCAGCCGCCCTTAGGTCTTGCCAACTAATGAAGTTGTGAAAATGATGTCCTGTTTTCCTAAGAAAGAAGGAAATAGTAAAGTATAAATCAGATACTATACTTTGGTCAGCCACAGAGGGCTAGGGATATTGTCAGGACACTTGCTAGAATGTGTGAGGCCCCAGGCTCAACCCCTAGCATAAAAAAGAAAAGAAAATCTGCTAAAAGAGAAAACAACAACAACAAAAAGACACACTATAATTTCAAAAATACAATCAAGTAAATGGAACTTTCTATCGAATTCTCTTTGGATTCTATTAATTAAATAATATGACTTAACAATTATGTGACAGTAACTGGATCATGGCTTATTCAGCTCTTAAAAGGCTGAAGCAGGAAGACAGCCACAGGTATCAGGCCAGCCTGGGATACAGAGTGAGACCTTGTTTCATAAGCCAAGTCGTCCCCAACAAACCAGAAATATTAGCAAACACATTGTATCAGATTTTGAATAGACTTTACACCAAAAGACTGTCCTTTTGAAACAATGTATACTTTCTTTTTTTTGGGGGGGGGAGGGTGTTTCAAGACAGGGTTTCTCTGTGTAGCTTTAGAGGCTGTCCTGGAACTAGCTCTTATAGAGCAGGCTGGCCTCGAACTCACAGAGATCCTCCTGCCTCTGCCTCTGAGTGCTGGGATTAAAGGCCTGGGCCACTACTGCCAGGCTGAAACAACGTATACTTTCAATAACAAAATTACTTGACAAGGCCTTTGAAAAAGATCTATGTTTCAGAGAGCCAAAAGGCCTGGCACCACTGCACACACCCTTAATTTCTGGCACTACAGAGCCAGGCAAATTTCTGAGTTCTAGCCCAGCCTGGTCTACACAGCAAGCTCCAGGTCAGCCAGGGCTGCATGGCAAGATTCCGTCTCACAAAACAAAAAATAAAACAAACAAAATGTCAATGGTTCCCCCTTCCTCATGTTCACCTTGGCACAATCATATACAAACTTCCGACCACAGCAGATCTAGGGCACCCCTCAGCATCTCCACATCTCTTAGCTTTAGAACTGGGCATCTAAGATGATTACCAAGATGTATCCAACAAAGAGAAGTCCAGGACCAGTGAGATGGCTCAGCAGTGAAAGAGCTGGCTGCTGAGCCTGATAACCTGAGTTCAAAGACAAAAGTACATACTGGAAGGAAAGAACCAGTTCCCAAAAGTGCCCCCAGGCCTGTGGCGCACGCCTTTAATCACAGAACTCAGGAGACAGAGGCAGGTGGATCTCTGAGTTTGAGGCCAGCCTGGTCTACAAGAGCTAGTTCCAGGACAGGCTCCAAAGCTACAGAAAAACCCTGTTTGGTTAAAAAAAAAAAAAAAAAAGCTCCCCCCCAAAAAAAGAAGAAGGTGCCTCTACACACACAGTGACATGCTTTGGGATAATGCTCTTGTACACTGTAAAGATTTGTCACTTATATTTGATTTAATAAAATACTGATTGGTCAATAGCCAGGCAGGACGTGTAGGTGGGGTGACCAGACTAGGAGAATTCTGGGAAAAGGAAAGGCAGAGCCGTAGTCTTCATCCAGAACAAGAAGCAAGACAAGAAAGCCTTACTGAGAAAGGGTACCAAGCACGTGGCTAAACATAAGTAAGAATTATGGGTTAAGTTGTAAGAGGGAAGAACAGACCAAACAGTTTGTAATTAATAGAAGCCTGTGTGTTTATTTGGGACTGGATGGCTGTGGGATTAGGGGGGACAGAAACTTCTGTCTACACTGACACATGGCCACACTCACACATATCGCATACACATACAGACGCACACGCAATAATATTTGTGTGTGGGTATTGTCTGCATATGTCTGCATACCACATGAAGAGCCTACAGAGGCCAAAGGAGGTCACTGATCCCCTAGAATCTGAGTGTAGTAACCATATTAGATGGCTATTAGCCATCATGCGGGTGCTGAGAATCAAACATAGGTCCAGTTCCTAATAATAAAAATTTTTAAAAGAAAGAAGATAGGGCTGGAGAGATGGCTCAGCGGTTAAGAGCATTGCCTGCTCTTCCAAAGGTCCTGAGTTCAATTCCCAGCAACCACATGGTGGCTCACAACCATCTGTAATGAGGTCTGGTGCCCTCTTTTGGCCTGCAGGCACACACACAGACAGAACATTGTATACATAATAAATAAATATTTGATAAAAAAAAAAGATAGAAAAATTGAAGCCAGGCATGGTGACGCATGCCTGTAATCTCATTTGGAGACCTGAAGCAGGAAGACCGCAGTGAGTGCAAAGCCAGCCTGATCTACCTGGGGTAGAGTGAGACCTTATCTCAAATTAATTATCTTCCAGGGGTGGTGGTGAATACAGGCAGGAAGCTATACAGGCAAGAGTTCAAGGCCTGCATGGGCTACACCCTTCTCTTTAAAAGAACAAGACAAAGCAAAGCAAAAATCTAGCAAACCCTGAGTAATAGTACAGAGCTAATAAACACAGAAGAAAGCTGCCTTCTTCTTAGACTCCTGCAAGTTACCTGCTGGTATGTACTAATATTTTCCTTTTAAAAATTATTTTAATTTTTATTTTTACAGTGCTGGGGATTGAAGCTAGGGCCTGAGATGCATACCCCAGCCCTGACTTCTATCAAAGCACAAGTTGTCTTCGATGTCAGTTTAACCATCTTCAATTCCTAATTCCCCAGCATCCACCCGAGCAGCCCATCCCCCTTGCCACTTCGTCAATGCTTTCCGCAAACACTTCTGAAGGTATTTGTTCCAGAAGATGTGACAGAGCGATGAACAGAACGCAGGCATTTCTGCTATGGTGAATATACTTTTGCCATGGGACACAAATAATCACCCCATCGCTTGACAACAGGAACAAGCCCCATGAAGGAGAAATACAGGCACCTGAGTGTAGGGACAACCTGAGGTAGGGTCAAGCTGCCTGTAGGGAGGAAGGGAAATTGGCTCTGAGGAGCCAGAGTGTGAACAAGGAGGTGAGTGCTCGGACACGATGGCTGTGGAGTGTTCAAAGGTCCGGAGGCAGGTGAAGCACTGAAGAGCTGAAAGACTAACACGGCTGAAGAGGAGACAAATCACAAGATGGAAATGGGGTTAACTCAATCTAGAAGCTGAGAAGCTGATCTCAAGTGTTGGTATTCATTCAGCATAGAACTCGGTGAGCGTTATCTCTCTAAGAGGAGAAAACAAGATAGGGACATGAGGACAGTATCATAAACAAACTGCCTTCAATCCTAGTAACACCTCACACCCTTCTGCGGCCTGTTAGCATACTTGGTATCAGAAACAATAACACAAACATGGCTACAGTGAAAGCCACATTTGGCAAGGAATAGAGTCATTTATATGGGGTGATGGCGAGTATAATCCCCGAGGGCATCGCCTTTGTATCCAATTTCGCCAGCCGGCTGAGAACCTCAACAGTTCCTGAGCGATCCCAGTCTGTGACTCATTTTACACTGCTAATTGGCACACACCCTGATCTGGGGTTGGCTGGCAAACTCTCCCTGAGAGACTCAGCCGCCCAAGAAACAAACAAGTCGTGATTTTTTTTTTCAAAAGCAGCAAAATGGAGGAAATCCAACTTATAATTATTGCAGAAGGCGAACTAAGCACACCATGGACTAGATATGAAAAAAGGAAGGTTTAGCTCAAAAGAATACGAGAAAATGAAGGACTGGAAAACATTAACACCGAGCTTCCTGGATTTGTGGGAGCGGGGTGTGGGGGGTATTTCAAGGAGAAAACAAGAAGTTCCAAGTTTTAAACTTCTTGATATGAATATCAGAAAGAAAATCAGTTCCCAAGGCCATGAACACAGGAATGTACCATGGTCAAAAAAAAAAAAAAAAAACAAAGCCCAACATGACGGCTCACACCTGCCATCTCCGAATTCAGGAGGCTGAAGAAAGAGCATTCCCACAAAATTTGAGGGCAGTTTGGGCTTTTTAGTGAAAGCTCAACTTAAAGCTATACAGCCAGGGAGATGGGCAGTGGGCAAAAAGCCAAGAGGAGGGTGTATTTGTAATCCCAGAACTGGAGAGGCAGGGACCAGAGGACCCCTCGGTGCTTACTGGCCAAACAGGCTAGCCAATTGGTCAGCGCCAGGATCCCCCGACTCAAAACCAACAGAGGAAGACACCCAGTGCTGACTTTTGGCCTCTATACATGTGTGCTCACATACGCATGGATGCACGCACGTGCGTGTGCGCACACACACACACAGAGTTAGAGCGGAAGAGAGAGAGAGAGAGCAGGAAGGGAGGTACTGCTGGACTGGAACAATGACTGTTGCACGGGTTCCAGACTGTCCGTCTCTCAGAGGAACACTACGTACCTCCTGCTCACTCTGAGTTATCTAATTCGGGGCTGATGTTGTCATTTATGGGAAGCAGGTGGACGTGGCCATCACGCCACGCCACAGTGGTTCACTACCGCCCAGTGGGCAGAATAAGACTTCATTATCGCCAGGTGGTGGTGACGCATGCATTTAATCCCAAGACTCAGGAGGCAGAGGCAGGCGGGTCTCTTGTGAATTCGAGGCCAGCCTGGTCTACAAGAACTAGTTCCAGGACAGGCTCCAAAGCTACAGAGAAACCCTGTCTCCATTATTTCATCATAAAACAAGGATGGGTGTACACATTTCTGATGGGTGTACACATTTCTTCAAAGCATATCCCTGTTTCAGATTCTGCCAGCAAAAGTTTTTCCAAAATTCATAAAATACAAACATTTCAAGACAGAAAAAAAGGATACTGAAGAAAACAACAAAGGTGTTTATCATCTGGCAGCTATGACAGTGTTGCCACTGTGTCTAACACACCTCAGCTGCTGCAGAGACTTGCTGTGCTCCTGGCATCTGTTAGGACCTCCGACTCTCTTTAAGTATATGGCAACTTTTTCAGATCTTCGTGTTCATTGGGAAAGTCAACTTATTCAAAAGAGAGAGGAGCGGAGAACTTCAACTCTTTCTAAGTTTTCTTTTGAAATGAGTACTCACTGTGTTGCCCCGGCTGCCCTCTGGGTACTCACTGTGTTGCCCTGGCTGCCCTCAAACTCAGTTCAAGCAATCCTCCTGCCTCAGCTTCCCGAGCACTGGAACTATAGGCATGAAAATTCCACCTCCTTTTCTGTTCGGTCCTGATTTCGCTGTTATGCACTGCTGAAGTCTGTGTTCTGCTGTATGGTTTCACTCTCTGTACTACTGAAATGCACGCCAGGCCTGGCTGCTTCCTCATTTTAAGTAAGTTAAGCTCAGATAATGATAAGGAGTAGATGAGCCGAAATGGAAACCCATTTTCATCCCTCTTAGCCAAACACAATGGTTCTCCACCCACAGACTGAAAACTCCTCGGACAGGTTCCTCAAGCAGCCAACTCCCTGAAGCAGCAGCGCCCCTACATAAAGCACTTACTTGTTCCACGTAATAAAAGTGGCTCTCTGCGTTGATATGCCAAGACCGACAATTTGATTCATCTGTACTCCTGCAGCTAAAGGCAAAGACAGATAAGACAGGTTTAAAAGCCAGAGAAGTTCAGCTGTGTAACAATACAGCACGGAACCCCGAGACGGGCAGACTGTCTGAGCTGTTTAATAAGAAAAGCAACGCTAAGATAAATTTTGCATTATTTTTACTTAAAATGAAGAAAGATATCTTAATAGTAACAAAAACGCCCTTTTAAACGTTTAAATGAGAGAAAAACAAATACTGTTCAGTCATACTGTATTTTTTTCCTGATAATACTAAAAACCTGGCTCTTAGTTTAGACAATATCCAATTATAACTGAAGCTGCCTGACAGTGCCGAATGGGAAATCTCTAGGGAGATTAGCTTAATTGCTGAAATTGAGATCGTATTTTTCAGCACAAACAGATGAAGTATAGGAATAAAAACATGAGTTTTGTTTTTCTTTGTTTTGTTCTGAAACAGGGCTAATTCTGTAGCCCAGGCTGGCCCAGCAGCAATCCTCCTGCCCCACCAACCTGAGTGCTGGGAGTAGCTCAAGCTGATGTCAAGTGTTACAACGGGTGTATGACACCCACACATTGCACCCAGAGACCTCAGGTGTGACAGGGAAGGTAAATGGGCTGTGAACTGATGAATTAGGAACAGTAGTACACTGGAACACTTCCTAATCCCCTGGACGCTGCAGCCCTAGCTGTAACCTGGGGCATTTATTTATCCTGTAGAAGAAAAACCAGGACATGGCTGCTGATACTTTTCCTTGGCAAAGTAGTTGACTGTAAACCACAAATCTCCCAGCAAAACACAGGGAAGCTGTAACACCTCCTCCAAAAAAGGCTGTGTGTGTGTGTTTGTATATACATATACACATATGTTCATACATGTGCTATGATAAATTATATATAATATAAAAAGACATATATAAAATGATATAA